AGTAGTAGTAGTAGTAGTAGCAGCAGCAGCAGCAGCAGTAGTAGTAGTAGTAGTTGTCGTAGTCGTAGTCGTAGTCGTAGTCGTAGTCGTAGTCGTAGTCGTAGTCGTAGTCGTAGTCGTAGTTGTAGTAGTAGTAGCAGTAGTAGTAGTAGTAGTAGTAGTAGTAGTAGCAATAGAAGCCATAGTATTAGTAGTAGCAAAGTACTTAGTCAGTTTCAGGGTCATCGTACCAACAGTAGCATGAGCACGTGAGTTCAATTAATAGTCGTAACAGCCGCAATGAAGATAAGCACAACAGCCGCCATAAGCACAGAGAGTTTCATGACAACGACACGAAGAGTACTGATAGTCACAGATCTCAAGAAGCAAAGGCAGCCGCGACTGCCCTCGGTGGTTTCATCTACGTCTTCGGAGGCCTCAGCTTCGGCCACGTCCTGGACCAGGCAACAGCAGCAATCAGCAATGATTATCCATGTCAGAGACACAGCCAGCATCATCTCGCAGTTGTCATTATCCCACCACTAGTATCATCTGAGTCTGTACGAGTATCACAGCATCAGCATGTTCATCAACATCAGCGTGGATACCAGTATCATGGATCTTCATCAAAGTCCGCCTTCGGGTAAGTAGGAGCGTTGTGATGGTGATGAGGATGGTGGTGAAGATGGTGATGGTGGTGATGATTATGCTGACGGTGTTGCTTCATCATAAAGGGTTGTGGAGTTCCCATATGGGACGCAGAATCTAATGCGTGGCTTCCCCTAAAGCTTGCGGCTTGGAGCGTTTGGCAGCACAACCGTAGACCTGTTGCTCTTATCGTCCTCTTCGTCTTCATCGTTGCTGCCACACGCTGGTGCTGCTTGTTTTTCTATTTTGGTTTGGTGCGTTGTTGCAGTTGCTTTGCCGCTGTCGCTAGCCCCAGCCGCTGTCGCTGCTGTTGCACCTGCCACTGCTGGTGGTGGTGGTGGTGGTGGTGGTGCTGCTGCTGCTGCAACAGGCGTTGTAGTTGCCAGAACGACGACGGCGATGGCGCTTGCGATGCCGACGACGACCACGACTAGCACAGAATCGTGTTCATGACACGAGCCAAGACAGTGTCATGTCCATGACATCCATGGTGACAAAGACGACCGTGATGGTAATCATGATCACCTTTGTATTCATGGCGGAAAGGGCGATGATTAAGACTACGTCGATGGGAATGATGACGATGATGATGGCGGTAACGATGCCCCGGGACAAGTTGCCAGGCTCAGCGCTTTGATCCCAACAGGGGGCAGTGGGAGTGTGAGGAACCGAGCTGTTTGGAATCTCGGGGGTCCGCAGGAAGTTCTTTTGGGCTTGGCCGATGCCTAAGGAGGATGAGGGCCTTCAGAGGTTCCAGAACTGTCGGAACCACGACTCCCGAACATTAGAGAAAGTATCTTGCGGGAATGCACAGAGGAAATCGGAACCCTAGAGCTCGCCAACATCGCCATGATCACATCCAAGAAAACAAGGCGCCAGCGGCAGCAGCAAAGACGACAGCAGCAGCAGCAGCAGCAGCAGCAGCAGCAGCAGCAGCAGCAGCAGCAATCACTAGCCCTCAGCGTGTCTTGAGACGCAGCGCTGGACTCGGGCACTAGAACTGAAAGCTTCAAACTCAGAGCCCTAGAGCGAGGATGCTAAACTCCCACGAAAATCCTCACTCCAAGATCCAAGTACCCCCACAAAACGCCAGTGTAAGATCCCCAGCTACTCGAAGAAGCTTGTGCCTTGTCGAGTTCGCCTAGGCCTTGAACCCATGCCCACGCCCCGATTCGAATGCCGGGGCCCCGGCCGGGCCGTGGGGTTCGGAGGCTGCTCAGCGCAGATCTGCCCATGGGATACCGTCGGTCACTCAGGTACTGCCGTCGCGAGCAAGGGTCGGATCTATGCTCGGGGGCCCAGAGATGTCGGCCATTCTTCCGGTTGCAAGTCGCAGCCGGATCTTCTGCTTGTCATGTTTCAGATTTACATGTCTTGGTCCTGGGCGAGATGCAGGTGCTGGGGGGCTCAAACATCTGCGGTGAGCCGTTGGGCGCTGTTGAGTGCTGTGGGCTCAGTTTGTGTGGCGGTTGTTGCATTGTTGGATCTGTGCGTACCGCAATGCCTGTCATGAGAATTGTCAATCTTGTGAGCTTACTTTCGATCGTGCTAGGAGTTGTCTAGCGATCGTCAGCTGTATTTCTGAGGTTACTATACTGTACATATTTTGTTACTTCGGGTATCCAACGCAGGCCTGAACCACAAAGAACGGAGTTTGATGAGGCTCACCCCCCATTTAGGCTTCAGGGTTGCGAACACCGGGGCTGCTCTTGGGACCTCGGCCCCACCAGCCCAAAGCCCTTGAGCCAGCGGAGGTTACGAGCCGTCCTCGGGGCAGTGGAAACAGCTCCCCGAGATGCGCCAGGCATCGTAAATGCGCAGGTTCACAGTAGGATTGCAGAGTTGGGTGTCGTGCGTGAAAATTTATGAGAACCCCAACTCCTATCCTTGGATCGGACAGAGACCCCTCTCAAACCGCCACAGAGTTGCAGCCAAATCGGCCGGCCAGACCGCACGGGGAGCACAGTTTCGATTTTCGCGAATGCCAACACGGCTTTGAATGCGTTGAAGAGCGGGATTGGGATTTCGATACATGAAGGATCGCCGGAGACTTCGAGCGGTTTGGGGGCAAAAGGGAGCGCGGGAATGTCGCTGAGCATGAATTTCCCTTCAAGAGCATAATGTTTGTAGTGTAGGTTGTCATATGGCTCCAGATAGAAATCTTGTATGCTCTGCTTTCAGGCATTTGCGTTCTCTGGCGTCCCTCTCGGTTGAATGTGCTCTACATCGAACTGCGACAATGTTGCTATCTTGCTCCTGCTGCTTGCGACTCCTGGATCCCAAATCTTAAGACGATGCAGCTCATACCTCGGATCCGTGCAATGCGACTGTATCCATCATAGACCACAAGCCGACACTACTGAATGCTGATGCCGCCTCAGTTGCGCAGTGCTATCTCCGAAGATAGATGCTACTCAACCCTGACCCCGCGAATTGTGGCGAGGGTACTGTATGGGACCAAGAGAGATTGATTGTTGGGATCCTTCTTCGGGGTCATGTACGTATCATATTATCGTCACAGACTGATGTCTTATCCATATCAGCAATGCTCGCTCGAATCTGTCTGCTTGGCTAGTACTGCCCTCCATGTTGCTTAGTGGCCTTTCCTGTGTACCGCTGCATGACTGCCGAGGTACTCCAAGCCCCAACACATAGATCGTAAACTCTGAACCGCAAGCCCTCAAACCCCAAAACCCAAAACTGCAAACCCCAAAAGCAAAACCATCCAAAGCCCCAAACCCCAAGTGCAGGCGAGATATGGCTGTGCTGCAGCCTCTCTGAGAGGCCAAGCGGCACGGGCAGGGTTAGGTTTCGCAAGGGGTCAGTGTAGGATGATAAAGTTTCTTGTTTTGGAGAGGGGCGGGGCAGGGTAGAAGGTGTAGGAGGTGGAGGCTTGAGGCTTTAGTCTTAATGTCCACGGGTGTGCTGTACTTTGGTGGCCATTCGCTCGTGTGTTTATGTTCGCGATGATGATTGCCCGTCTTTCGAAGGATTTGCGCATAGGTTTGCAGTTGTTGTGCTAGTACCGATCGTCACTGTCGTAGGCTCGATGCATTGTCTTCTTCCTGGTACTTGTGTTTGTTGCAGGCACACTGTTTCACTGTCGTTGTTTCTACTCATGGATTATTGCAGATTCCGGGTTGTGGTTGCCGGGCAGAGCAACGGTAGAGCATCGCGCATTCTGTCACGCCGCTCGGAACTGTCTTCGGTTCTCGGAGCCCTTTGCTCTCAGGAGGGCTGGTCGGGAGGTCATGGGCATATCAATCATGTCGCAACGTGCGGCTTGCTTCACTGCTCGATTATGGTCTGGCTTGAAAAACCCAGTAAGCCCTGTAATCCAGAACCGCCGCATCCTCAAGCCTATACAAAAGGGAACGGAGGTTCCAGAAAAGAAGACCAGACAAGCAGCGGCTCCGGAAGTCACTGCAGGCTTGGTCTACATCTTTGGCGGCCATGGCTTTTGGGCCCGCCGCCCCAGAAATGGTTTTCCGGAATTGAGGTAGAAGAAGCTGCGTAGCAGGTCAGGAAGGTGGTCTGTGTGCTCGTGCTCTTTGAGCTGCTCTGAAGCCACGAACGACATGATGGAAGCCTGGCGCCCCTTCCCCAAACCCGCAACCAACTTCAGCTTTGAGCCAGGAGAACCTGAACGATTCTGAGTGCTTCGACATGGAGTACGAGAGGCCTCCCGCAACTGCGAATCCGCGAACCTACAGTACGCTTTTTTTTCAGCGGCACAGAAGGTCGAAGGCCCCCAAAGACAGGCGAGTGGGAGTTTAGCAGAATGACCATCAGCCAGTCGGCTTCCTGGCAGCAACAGATCATGAGCCGTGACAAAGCCCGGAAAGCCCAAACTTCGAATTCAGACCCCTATCCTAGAGCCTCAAGCCCTACAGCCAGAACGGCTACTTCGGGACAGGTGGTATCCATTGCCGCCAATGCCGGCACCCAGAACCCATTGTGGCCACTGCCTTACACAGCGTATGACATCATGGCTTCAAGGCTCTGGAGTTGGAGAAGCTACAGCAGACAGAATGTTTCTGCACATCCTAGATGCTTGCCAGCCGGTCAGCTTCCGATAGCGAAATCCAGCAGCTTGCTACAACCACGAATCCGAACCCAGTTGAATCCCTGAAGCAGGACGTCAGCTTCAGAACTCGGGAACCCTGAACCCACGAAATCCTGTGGAGCGCAGATGTTTCGATTCCGATGGCCCGTTGGGTCGGGATGCCATGAACATGTCTAAGCTCGAGGACGTGAAGGAAGTTGCTGGGAACCATCCTCTTCGACCGGGGGCTGCGGCGTCCCTTCACGCCTCCACCACCGGCTCTCCAACTGCGACAAAGACACAAAAAGCGGCAGAGACAAGGTAACCGATGCCCGGAGGGCCACCACAGACGCCTCGAGTCTGTCCTCAGGCTGGCAGACTACAGCGTGATATGGTGCAGCACTGGAAGAATCAATCTTCCGGCCGAAGCAAAAAGCCATACCTCGCCAACGGTTTCCCGATAATGTTGCCATGGAAGCCTTTCAGTTGAATTTCCAACGTTGGCTCAGGGAGCGGCAGCTCCGAGAGACCCTGGAGAGAGATCGTCGACGCCAAAGGCGCCGAGCGAAGTCCCGCGAGCTCCACGCAAAGGGTGTGAAATCTGACGAGCCTGACTCTGACTCTCATCGTGGGCACGACGCACGGCGCGTCGGTTTCTGTCAGCTGTGCTGACTTCGTGGACCAGGTAGGAACTTATCCTGATGAGTTCGGACGCCGACCGCTGCAGCGAAGAAGGGAGCCTGACAAGTTCAACTTGCCCGGTCTCTTCTGCATGATGGCGGAAGGTTTCAATCCGACACTTTGTCAACCCTTGCTTGCTCAAGATGCTGCAATGTAGCTCACATTGGCTTGGAGCGTGTGGGAGTTTGATAATGCGCGAAAAATCCTGAGCAGCACCGGGTGTTCGCAGCTCCAAAAAGCCCGCACTCCCAACCCACCCGGGCATCCGAGTCCCCGCGAAGCATTGAGGTGCTGCTGTGGCCGCTGGCTCGATCTACGTCTTCGGGGGCCACACGAACGGCCAGGACTTGCAGAGGGCTTTGTACGCGTGCTGTTCCGGGCTTGGCACGCCCCTGCCTTTCTCTGGTTCTCTTGCCGAATATCTGAAGCCCAAGCCCAAGCCCTTCTTCCTCTCCCTTGCCCTGATCATCCCATCTCGATGCCTAGGGGCTCAGGCCAAGCAAAACGAAGCTACCAGCCAAATGAGCCTACATCTATAGGTCTGCATTGGCCAACACCCCAAAACTTCTCAGGGTCCGACTGCTGAAAAATTCATTTGTCCTCTTGAAACACTGCGGCAGGAAGGCTTCGTTGGATCTGCATTTTGCGTGGAAGGGGTTTCGGGCTTTATGAAGCGTTGGGGACAATGGGCCTGGGGCCCTGAATCCTAGGCATCCCCACGAACCCCAACAGCCCAAGGCATCCCCATAGTCAAGCCCAGGCAGCAAGAAACCGAACATACGGCTCTGATTGGAGATAGTACTCCCTTTTAGTCCCTATCCAATTGTACCATGATATACCTGGAAGCCTTATTCTGGTTATTGAGGCCCTCATATTGCCTTTAATTCCTCGTGCTGGTAAGGGCTCCCAGGACGTTCTGACCATCGACTGCCTGAATCCCGAGTCTGGCTCATGGGAGGCAGGGCTTGAGAAAATACATTCTCTGCAGTAGATGTTAGGATTGCATCGGGCAGAGGGTTCAGGGCAGGTCAGAGATTCAAGGGGTGTGAGGGATGTGGAGCTTCGATTGCGTCCCGAACTTCAAACTTGCGTCTTCATTGTACCGCGTCCATGGTGGAGGGTTTGGGCTTCCGTCCCGCAGAGGCGAGATGACGGAAGAAGGGTCACAAGAGAAGTTATGACAGCTTTTGCCATGGTTGGAAGCACATACACATCACTGCGCTCGTGCTGAGCGCGGTAGAGTACAAGCTTGTCAGTTGCCAGAAAGATACATCTTGAACTCGCAAAATAAAATGCCCACTCGCCCGTGTAGGGCAAGGGTAGAGCAGAATTCTGCCTCTGGAGTGTGTGCTTGTCACCCGTGCGTTTCAATGTTGACATCTCATCCAGGCTCCGTTGATGTCAGCATGTATACAACTTGATCATGGTTTTTTTTTCTGCCTGGTATGCTGGTGCTGTCGTCGGTCGTTGTTGCTGATGCGGCCGGCATTGCTGCTGGTGGTCGTGGTGGTGGCGGCTGTGGTGGTGGTGGCTCTGGTGTTGCTGCTGCTGTTCCTGCTGCCATCGTGCTGCCGATGCCGGTTGCCGCATTCAAATCAGTTTAGATGTTGAAGTCATGTCGATTTCGTCTCGTTGTCCCGTCGTTGTCATCGTGGCTGCTGTTGTTGTTGTTGTTGTTGCAGCTGCTGTTTGTCGGCGTCGTCCTGGTCAGACTTCTTGTCGGGCCCGCACAGATGCCGATGAGGGTGTCAAGTCGGCAACATGATGGTTCTGATGATGATGATGATGACGATGATGATGATGATGATGATGATAACTCTTTGAATATCCTCGCCTGAGTTTTCCAAACCGGTTCTGCGACATGGTAATGATGCTGCTGATGATGGTTATGAATTATGATAGTGATGGTACGAACCGTTGCTGATCGCCATTATCTCAAGTCTTATGAACCGGTTGTGCATCTTGCAGGTCGTTGCTCACATGCTGAAGCCCCGCAGCCACTGCCTGACTGTCACTGTCTTGCCTTAGCCGGCACTAGAGGGGCAAGAGCCCTGAAAGCTGAGCCGACGGGTTTCGCGTGGAGGGGTTGCGAGAGAATTCAGGGTGCAAAGGTTGTAGTATGATTTTGTTTATGGAGCTGTGTCGTCGTAGTAGTAGTAGTAGTAGTCGTCGTCGTCGTAGTAGTAGTAGTAGTAGTGGTGGTAGTAGTCGTAGTCGTAGTTGTAGTCGTAGTCGTAGTCGTAGTCGTAGTCGTAGTAGTAGTAGTAGTAGTAGTAG